AAATGGGTCGAGGAGAAGAGATTTGCACGAAAAAGTTGAATTGTTTGACGTACTTCGAAGATGTTCGAATAATATTTGTGACTAAACATTCATAGCAATTATCATTCGTTTTGTGAAGTTATACTCTTCAAATTGCATCTTTTGATCGTGAATCTCCACCTTTCTAATTCTTCTAAATTCGAAAGATTCTTTCGGATTGTGTGCTCATCGAGAATGCATTCTCATAGTAGCTCCTCGTTGTGAATGCAACTCAAATTGAGACGTTTCTATCGATGCGTTCAAATCTGCTTTGATCAAATGTACTAGGCGATGTGAAACCGTTGAACGAGGTATCAGACTTGATGATAAGTGTAATAAGTTGGTGAGCATTAATTGTGGTTAATCGTATTATGCAGTTTATATTGACAACAAACAAGAAGAGTGATACTCTCTGATCACAGTTTTAATCACACTGTGATGACCTCAGTGTTGGTAAATATGTTGTTATAATGCACCAGATACGTCAGAGTGGATTTGCTCATCGCTTCCGTATTGTGTTCAGCCAAGCGAACCATTTTTCTCTGTTTGCGTTCAATAGATCAGTCAACCAAATGGATACAAAATTAGTCAATTTTCGTGCAAATAAAACCTAAAGTTGTTTGCATAAGGCATCTGTTGAACTGTCATGAACAAGGTTCATGTCACTGATCTTTGAAGAGTATTATCACTTTCTTTATGAAAGTCCTTTACTGAATGCTCTATGGGCAAATGACAATATCGAATACTAATATGCACGCACTAATCAATGATGTTGCTTTGCGAATAGCAAACAGATGGCACATGAATGTAAGCACATTGAAAGTAATAATATTATATAATGCGAGCAATGAAATTAGAATCGCCTATTAATTCTTTACATTTCTCAATTGTTCGGTGTTATTGCAAGTTGCATTCAAAAATTTTTTTCCTCAAGAATGAAACATTTGAAATGCGAAAAGAGTGTGGATATTAGACTTTTCTGCACCCTCAAACGTTAAAGTGGATTGATTCTCATAAAATATTACAAACAAAATCTTTAAAGAATTTCGGTAAACACTCGACAGGTAACAAACAAAAANATATATATGTGACATTATATTCTTCTTTATTGCAATAAACGTTCTTTTTTGATGCATTATCATCTCATCATATCATTCACTGTTGACGTCAGTCAGTCTTTCTGCTAATCAGCTGACATGTGCACACAAGTACAACATTGGCTCATTACACTCAGCTTGTTGACCTCATAGTGCGCATAGCTGCAAATATATGACCTAACTGTGTGCTTGAGAACCGATATAAAATGTGGTTCTAATTGAAAGTTGATTAGAAAGCAATGCAGTTAATGAGTACTCTCCAATGTATTCTTTAATTGGCATTCGTATTTGTTCCATTTCAAATACTTCGACGGAAACGTTGTCGAGTTGAATGGTCATTTGAACGATTACTAATCAGTGGTAAAATCGATCGTTTAATCTGTTTTCGTTTCGGTTCGTTGGATGTTAATTCGCATTCGAAAGGGGATTTATTTCGGCCTGTATAATAATCATATATTATTACTCATCAGCTATATGACCGAATCGATTCAGCAGCGTTCGCTTAATTAATCAGCTTTATTCTCTCGTTCCTTCTCAACGTCAAAACCACATCCAACCCACTCATATTCATTCGTTCACCCATCATCCACCCTAATGTACAATCTCTCTGTGCATATATACCCCCTCCCCCATCAATATCAGCTTATCTTATAATAGTTATCATCAATCAACACGAATACCAACAACGCCGTCAATGATACGATTCGCTGTTTGTCCTAAGATCTTCTCGTATCGTTTTACATCCTTTCACTGCTTATTAATCGAATTATCAAGGTTAGGCTGGCATAAACAAATATGCTATCTGCTTTTTAAAGTTCAGTATGTGTGTGAAATTCAGCTGCTGATTCAATAATATGAATTTATTGAAGCATAAATCTTGTGGCAGTGTTATCATTTTCTACTCATATTTGATAGATTCTGATTATCACTAGCCATCATATTGTGCTTATTTTTCCGTATGATTTCCAATTTATTCGAGTAGCTATTTCTAGTCAGTTCATTCAATCCGAAATGTTTTCTCTTCGTGCTTGTTAAATTGTGAAATTGAGTTACGTGTTATTTATCTCTTAGACTTATCTCATTATTTGAGTTAATTTTGCTTTTGTACCTCAATGATCATCTTTTCTAAATATAACTGCAAAATAGCTGCTGAAGTCACTTTCTCCAAATTCCAGAGGTTCAGCTTTTGGAATTAAACGAAATTATGTTGATTCTTTTCCCGGAGGAATACGGAGGATTTCTAATTGAGTTGTGGTAGGCAATGTGAGAAAAGCATTGTTATTTTCATTATCAGCGATTTCTGAAAAAAATTATACTGAACATCTATTTCATTTTTTTTTCGTGTACGGCACCAATTCAGTTGCATTATCTTCATCTCATAACGGAAAGTAAAGGGCTTACGGAAGGTTTGCTCAGATGAGTTCAACTCCGAAACACTTTGCATGTGCCATGAATGCATAGATTATTCATTTGTTCTTACGCGTCTACAAGTCATTGAATACAACTTTGACGAATGAATTTAGCTCACGGTGAGGGGTGCAAGATTAATTGTCACATTTGAAAAATAATTCGATTTGAATGTATGCACGCATATAGCCATTTAGCCATTGCAAGAGCAGATAAATAATGTTTTTTGCAAGTAGAAGTTCGCGTGGAAAACGTGATGACCTTAAAAGTTTGAATGATCGAAACATCTTAAATAACCATTTCCATTAGATGATGGGGCAGTTATTTTGGAAAGTGAATTATCGTTTGGAGAATCTATCGAAACGAAATGTGTTGGGCTAATCGCACGGAGGGGAAACTCCCACATTTCGAAATAAAGTTCATTGGAATAGAAAATTTTTATTGTGTGCCTGAATAGCTGAATCCAATGAATGACAACAAATCAAAAAATAAACGAATTTAACCATATATGACAACAAATTGGGAAATTTGGCTGTTCTCCGGAATCCTTGAAAAGTTACCTTTTACTAGTCATGATGTATAATTACTGGAGGAGGATCATCAAAGAAGATTCATACGATTTGCTGAGATATTTTGTATTCATCCAGTCTCATCGATCGATGCTATTATGCCATTCGAATCTATCGCTGAAAATAAATCTGTACAGTGAAGTTGTTGTTGAAGGCTTAACCTTAAGTCATGATCGTTGCGTTGGATTTTAATTTTGCTCGCTCTCATTTTAGTGTTTCACCCATGGGAGCAGCAACCGGAACAATTTAAAGATATCATTCAAAGAATGTCATTATTTTCAGCACTAAATTTTCGCTCATAAGTAGTAAGATAATCCCCGAATACTCAACAACAATAACAACTCACCTCATTTGCTTACGTCTAATGACGGCATTACGTGACATCATTCCACTCAAAGTATTTTTATGCTGCCTGTTTTAATCTCCAATTTTATTCATTCCTTTCACTGTTTATGAGGAGAAATCATCGCATCTTTTATGCACCATATGATTTTTCTTCAAAGAATTTGCAAACGTACAAAACTATTTGTTGTGTTGTGACTAATCTCTTAGAAACCGTCATCAGAGTGAAAATAGTGAAGCGAATGCATAATAAGGCTCTGATGCCATTCTACTCCACATCAACTTGAAAATTTTATTAGGTTATTTTGAAGCGCGCTATCTACCCGATTTTCATCAACGAATTTTCGTCCTTATTTTGCAAAATTGATCGAAATGTTTCGTAGTGAAATGGTGCGAAAATTTTAATATTGGTTATTCCGTTGGCTCATTCACCCATTGTAATGCTTCGTGAAATGAATCGCTTCGCTGAACAACGAAACGTGTTGTGTTTCATCGAAAAATGTCGGTTTGAGTTTAAATTGAATCATAGGGGTTGATGCGAGCCATACAATCATCCGATAAACGATTCTTTCGATAGGTATCATTGAAGAAATTCCGTTTCAATGTAACTGATTGAATTCTGAATGTTTCTATAATCGTTGCCTCAATAGATGAACATTTTACGAGAGTTTACTAATTCTAACGATGCTAAAATTTCCCGTGAAGTATAAAAAATCATTGATTTTTCAATTCTACATATTATACATGTTGATAAAGTGTTTCCAAAATCGCAGCCTAATTGCATTCACTGAGCTGGGCAATAGTATCAAAAAAANNCAACACTTCCACAGTTCCATAAGCGTTTGCTCATTTTGCCGTTCAAAAGCATACAGCGATCAGTTTTCCATTTGAACCATTCAATTCGAATGAATATTATTGGAAAATAAGAAACTTTATCGCTGAAAGCATTCCTCTTATCAATTGTAAAGGCTTTTTATCGTAAAGGCTTTTTATCCTCCCGTCTTGATTCAAACCAAGGAAATTGTTGTTTATTTATAGAAACAGAAGTATTTTCTTTTATAGAACACTCGTCATGTTTGCTGTTGAGTTATTTTTTCGTAAGTGATAACGTTTAATCAAAGTGGTTGATGATTATTTATTGAAGCAGAAGTCTTTTCTTTTATATACACTTATCATATCGATTCTGTTTGCTGTTGAGTTCGTTAATATCTTATGCGATAACGTTTGGTCGAGCTGTTTGTGTGTTACAGAACAAAACTAATTTGATGGTCCGATCGGATAATTTATAGTAATTCATTGAATAAATCATAAAATAAATTCTCGTCTAAAATTCTCACTAAATAAATCATCGTACACAAAACATTCATGGGCGTGTTGTTGATCGTTGAATAATTTCGATCATTTTTATGAAGTATTGATCGTGAAGGAATCAGATTTTAGAGAAACGAACACAACTAACAATTCTGAGACGAACCACGAACTAACAAGCGAGTTGTTGGGTTTGAAGAGGAAGTAAATACGACAACGACGACGACGACGTTAGATAAGCATTTAACAGCGATACGATATGTCAAATATGAATGTTTTCAAATGTTTCGAAATCGATTTGGATGCGGGTAGCAATCCGATATTCCACGGTGGAGAGTTGATAACAGGCACACTCAAAGTTGAACTGCAACGACCGATGACCATTCAAGTGATCAAGTTGCAATTCAAGGGACGTGCTGCAATCAGAAACAGCGATTCAACAAAGGGAGGAGAAGTTGAAAAAGTATTACATTTGTTCTTTCACCGTTCATAGAAGTAGACTTATGATAATATCGACGCTATTGACAACGTTAAATAGCAGTCATACCGCAGCAACAAGAGTGATAATAATCATCGTCAGTGTTATTGGTACATGTTGAATTGATCAATGTTTCGTTTACTCTGCACCATGACCTGATCCTTCTTTTGATGATGATGATANACAATTTACGTTGATGTTTTATCTGCCAACTGCGAATCGCTACGTTCCATTATTTCAATTAATAAACATTAATTTCCCGTACAAGCCGACAAAGCTTTGTGATTGTTGATATCAACAGCTGTGTTCGCCTAATGCACTTCAGTGCCCTTGATGGCGCTGAAGAAGCAAGTCAATTGCTCCGATACTCTGAGCGCCCAAACGACTCACAATCAGCATACCTACGGAATCTATCAGCATTGTTTTTTAATCAGTAATGTTGCCTCAAACTGATGACAGTTGTTAATTGAAGGTATATTTCGATAGAGATTTCATTCTGCTTGAAAGGCCTCCGGGTCGGCCTGAACCTGGCCATTTCCCGTGGATCGCTGACTTCAATTACAGTCTGCCGTTCGAATGTCCGCTACCGTTGGGCTGTCCTACATCATATGAAGGATCGCAAGCATTTATTCGTTACCATGTTCGCGCAACACTCATTGAGGATGATGGAACAGAATCGGTTCGTTCAATTTAAACCAGAGAAGAACAGTTCTCGAACGTTGTCTCTTTTGAGAGAACTAAAATTTCATTGTCAAGGGACGAAATAATCAATTTTGGTGATTACTCCCAAACAATTGCATCGAAATTTGAATCCGTGCTCAACTTGATGATTTCATCGCTGAATAACACTGAAAACTTGTCACGTGAGGATGAAAAGATCGAAAATATTTACACAATATTGATTAAAGATTGTTACTTACGCAATTTTTTACGTGAATTACAAAATAAAAGATGTAATGATTATCAAAAGATGTTGCGTGAAGACGCAATTTCACTAGAATATAAGATTTAATTGCGCATGCTGATAGTTTTATCATATCGTGTATGATATGCTATGAAATGGAAGATCGAAACATTATTCAATGCTCAGTTTTGATACAATACGGGGAAACAGTAGGATGAAGTGAAGTGAAGTAAATAGCTGAAATTTATTTAATCTGCTCAATGCGGTAATTTTGGCTTTTGAAAGTTGGCGTTTGAAAATGAGACATATTGAATCGACATGAATATTCATTGGTTATGTGATTAGTTGGAAGGAAAGAATATGGTTTATTTCAGAATGAATATATGATCAAAAAACCTTTAATGGTTGTTGCACCAGTTGATCCATTACCTGAAATCGCCTCACATCCGGTCAATGCCTCAGAAAGTATCAAATTTGGTGGTTGCTGTTGCCGTGGCAAACTGTCAGCTGAAGCAGAACTACCAAAATCAACCTATCTTCCGGGTGAAAGCGTTATTGGTAAATTAAAAATTAACAATCGACATCCGAGACACATCGTTGATCAGGTTTCTTTACGCATACTTCAGATCAGTTGTGGCAATTAACTCGCCATTTCTTGAAATATGATGTTGACTCATTCATACGAGCCGTTTAATTAAGCATAATCGTGAGTGCACATAAATCATACATTACACAACACTCAATGAATTATAATCCTTTTCTGAAAGTGCTAAACAAAGAATTTAAGATTGAGGTGCGACTGGTCGATCGTGCAACACGGATGGATTCATCATCGAACGACAAATTGACATTGAATCGTACATTATTACTTAATAAACTCGATAATTCAAGCATTGTCAAAGCAAAATCATCGATGCAAAAGGATGATATTTTATTCTTAACGATTCCACCAGTTGTACCGTCCACTCCAGGTACCCAACTTCACATTATTCTCACTTCAAATCCACATTTCACTGAATCGTTTTGCCTACTATCTGTAACGATTGATCATTTCAAGTGATCGCTTCTATCGATTCTTTCCATTGTTCTTCTGATTAACAATCATTATTGTGGTGTGATTCACGGGGAATATACTATGAGAGCGTGTTGGTGTAAACAGATCAATTTCAGTGCTCAATTTCAATCACTTTAAGGTGCAGCTGCGAATGCATTCAGTTCTGACGTATATTCGATGTCTCCAGATGAAAAAGCGCCAAGTCTTATCCAGAAATTGATGGAAAACCCTGGAACGGCAACGTTAAGATTCAGGAAACAACCGTTCCTCAAAATTGCTTATGCAATTCAGGTCAACAGCCTTCACTGATAAATTGCTCTATTCAAAATGATGTGCTCTGCTCGTTGTTAAAAAATGTATTCAAAATGATTTGTTTAAAGGATGTCTGCAGCTTTCAAATTTGCTCTATCATGAATACAAACAGGTCATGTAAGAGTTTCCACTTGAAACGGGAAATCTTTTGAAGCAAAAATCTTACGTGAAATTCGATATCATCGCACTTATTTGACTCAAGAATACCCCACAATGATAGCATATTTAGCACTTTTTTTCCAGACGTGGCTGTCATTGCTTTCTGTTATGCAAACCAGAGTTGAGTGAAACAAATTGGATTTGTACATCAGTTATGGCAATCTTTAAATTTCAAACAGTGCAACGAAAAATGGATTCGTGATCGAAATTGACACTGAAAATTTCAGATTTCGTTAGGTTCTCAGCTTCTGCTTGAATTGCCGATCATGATAAATGCATTACCAATTGAAAGCGATAATGTCAAGTATGCAGCATTCGCAGGCGGTGAAGTATCCGTTATTGAAAGTGATGAAGCGAACAAGAATCGATTGGGCGACGGTTTCGTATTCCTTCCGCGATATCAAACCCTCAACGTTCCTCAGCAACTAACCACTTCTAATGGACCATCCGCTGAAAATGGTGCTCCCAAATAACCGATGATAACTGCCAAATCTTTTTTCTTATATAAATAACGTTCGTATAGTCTCCTTCTCCTCGACGATTACATTTGATATAATACTTTATTACATTACAATACACATTGATCGGTTCTGGTGTTGGTACTTGTTTGAACGGTTATGCAGTCTGCGTCAGTAATGCATTTGATGAGTAGAATAAATTCAATGGCCACTCACATTATGAATTTCTTACTGAATCGATATACTTGTTATGTAGTGCAAATACTAATTTGAGCAGTCTATGCGTAGATTCAACGAAATGAAGCACGTATATAAGCTGCAAAAGCTGAAGGTGAAAATTCATGTGCGCACTAAAAAAAATGAAAAAGTGCACTAAAAAATTCCGGTTTAAAACATTGATCTGTTTTCGGGATCCAGTCTCTATGAATTTATTTTCGTTGATCAAATCTGTTTTCGGGATCCATCTTTTCAACTTCACCGTTTGTTAGTGTAAATACCTTCGCACACAATGAATGAATGAATTATGAATGTGAAGTTTTGTTTAAGTGACTGCTTGAAGACTAATGGCAACTGCTGTTCACCAAGTTTTCTTACTTACCAGGTTTAGTCGTTAATTTCTGGTAAGGTTTATTACTGACGCTGTTTTATGATGGAACCAGATAGGTTTTATATTGCAAATTCTTATTTAAACAAACATTTTTTCGAACTATCATAGAACTGTCAGAACCATATAGTGAATTCCACATATTCTCTCTCTGTCCCCCCGAAAAAAGAAGAATCGAATCGCGTATTTGTTGACGTTCTCTACCGCTGAGTTATTCAGTGACCTCAATGTTTAATGTTTTGTTTTCTCGTTACTGTCCACTTACCTCTTCCGCTATTCTTTGCGTTGCATTTTTTTTCCGTTTCTTGTACTTGCTTTCCCACTATTCGCTAATAACAAATGGCTGATGCAATCGTCTCGAAGAGTCAAAAGTTCTGCACGTCCATTTATCGGAAGTGAAATAAACTCGACAAAAATTGCAGTGTCTTGATGTGCACTCGTTGAACACGCTTATTTATCATAGCAGAGTTTAAGTGATTTGAAATCAAGAAAATTTAGATCGTAAATGCAAACTGTAACACATACAAACATTTGTTTGGCATGAAGTAATGGTCGCAACTTTGCAAGCAATCGAATAACACAGCACTATTATGTAATATAACTCAGCGATTGAGACACTTCGCCTTACCCCTTTTTTATTCTCGAATGAATGATGTCTTATTGAAATATAACATTCAAAATGCTCGGTCAAGATGACATTAATATTGATTGTAATAATGAATTGGTAACGAGTAAATTCTTCTGTAAACTTGTGATTTATGAGCTGATCCACATTCCTCAGTTCAGTAATCTATTCATTATCCGTTTAATTATGCTTACGAAGCATTGATTTTTTGTTGCTAATCGTAAGCAGTATTCAATTTGCACATTTACTTCCGTATTCGTCAGTGAGAAATACGCACTAAGGTCTGATGAACTTCCAACTGAGGTCGTTTTCATAAAGAGTGAAGTGTTCAGAACAAGGCTACTTAAGAGAGATGTCCTGAAGAGAGTTTCCTGTCGCAATGTTCAATCACCTATTCTAAGGATGATCACAGTGTGAAGGGATGCAAAATCAAATGCCAAATTTTATTAATTTGGTTATGACATGCTCAAACCAATGTGCAAGTAGGTTTGCGTGCATAGATGAATCATTTTATAGTGTCCATTGGTGATGGCATTCGACGTTCGGTCGGAATTACGACATCTGGATTACGACCAAACAATTTTGAAGTTCGATCGGAATTCCGAGTGTCGGAATGTAGAAAAGTCGAATCGGTCGGATTCCGCTGAACTGAAATTTCGTTCGAATGTCATCACTAGTTATCAGCTGCTGTTACACAAACAACATATTGATTGTAACGGTGTTTTCATTCATCGAATATTTCAGTGTAAATTGAATGCAACGGAATTTGTATTGAGTGAATAGCCGTTGTTATTGTTAGTGCTTTATTGTACAAGTTACGTTGAATCACCTGAATATCTGTTGTTCCAAGGAATGGTTCAACGGCTCAGTTAGATAACGAGTGATGTGGCAGAGTGCTGGAACATTGCGATAAGAGCTTTCGATTCATTTCGGCATGACGAAATATTCGTCGTAATCACGGAATTGATTGATTCCACGTCCGATTTTGTGATGGTTTCAATTAGCAAGAAATACTTTACTGTCGATCGAAATTTATCACATATAAAGCCATAAAAACACTGCAAATCAACCATAAAGTATTAAATATAACATCATCAAAACATTTGAAATAAAAGGAAAAGGAGGGACATTCCAAGACG